ACTCAACAAAAAAGCCGCTGTACGAAAGATTACCCAACCTAGTGCCAGACAACACCAACAATCTTCAAACTTTTAAACTTAATCAATATACATAATATTCACTAATACTACTGTGCATACTATATATACAGGACAATCAGTTCCGATATGAACCCTGCTCTGAAACTCTTCCCGGACAGCTCCAATAGAACTCATAGACATTAAACAAGACAAAAATCTTTTTGATTCCCCCCCCCCAGTGTCCGACTCAGCCTGTGTAAAAACTCAAATGTGCATAAAAGGCCCTAAAATCTGGAACTCTCTTCCTGGGGATTACAAAGGTTCCTTATCTGCCAGCCTCTTCAAAGCTATTGTGATCCTGACAGCTATACTAGAGGCGTAAAGACGATGTCATCAGTCCGTCATCCTCGAAGACGTAGTTTTGAGGTGGTCAGTCCCTCAGCCTGGAGAAGAGTCCTACTTCATGGTCTGGAAGCACTGGTCAATAAAGCAATCATTGGTCATTTAAACAATCACTGGTTAGTAAAACAATCACTGGCCAGTAAAACAGTCATTAATCAATAAAGCAATCACTGGTCAATAATGCAATTCCTGGTCATTAAAACAATCATTGGTCAATAAAGCAAGTACTGGTCATTAACACAAACACTGGTAAATAAAGCAAGCACTGGTCATTAACAAAAACACTGGTCAATAAAGCAAATACTGGTCATTAACACAAACACTGGTCAATAAAGCAAGTATTCATCATTAACACATTCACTGGTCAATAAAGCAAGTACAGTAAGTCCTCACTTAACGTCATCGATAGGCTCTTGGAAACCGTGACTTTAAGCAAAAAGACGTATAACGAAATCAATTTTACCATAGGCCAATTTATATATATAAACATCAGGGATGCATAGTACATCTTTAGCACTCATTATAACAGGGCTAAATCAAGGAATAAATGTTTACAAAGCGAAAATTGTAAGAAGCACCACCTACCACCACGCAGGTCAAAACAAATAACATATGGTGGACGCACTCACACACACTTATACTGAGACAATTTAGACATGCCAGTTAATCTAACGTGAACATCTTTGAGATGTGGGAGGAAACCGGAGTACCCGGAGAAAACCCATGCAGACATGGTGAAAGCATTCAAACTTCACAGACAGTGGCCGGGAATCGATTTTTTCTCATGAACGCTATAACGAAACGACGTTAAGTGAGGACTTACTGTACTGGTCATTAAAGCAATCACTGGTCAAAACAATCACTAGTCAATAAAGTCATCATTGGTCAATAAAACAATCACTAGTCAATAAAACAATCCTTGGTCAATAAAGTAATCAGTAGTTAGTTGTCGAAACAGGTTAGACAAGTACGTGAAAGATAATACGTAAGACCTGCTTAACATGGGCCAGTAGGCTTATTGTTGCTGAACTCCGGTTATCATGGAACAGGTCAGTCTCTAAACCTACATAGTGTCTATTAACTCATTTAGTTATCTATCAGTCTATTTCTCACCTGAAAATGTTGAACATGTCCCCAGGAGAGCTGTAGCCACACTGAAGTTCGTTCTCTTTCTCTCTCAGGTTAAGATAGAGAGAGAGGGGGGGGGGGATGGATGAACTGTTTGTTTCTGCACTAGGAAGGCGTTCGGTGCAGCACGTCGCAAGAGACTGGGACAATAACTAGAGAAGAAGGCAGGAATAACAGGGAAGGCACTACAGTGGATCAAGGAATACTTAACAGGAAGGAAACAATGAGTCATTACTCGGGAGTGTCACGTATGGGGTTCCACAAGGGTCAGTGAACGATATAACAGAAAAATTCGAGTCAGAGGCGTCCCTGTTTGCAGATGATGCAAAACTAATGAAGACAAACCAAACAGGAGCAGATTACTACTACTACCTGAAAAGACTACAAATGGATCTGGAAAAACTGAATTGGGTTGACAAATGGCTATTAGCATTTAACCTCAGCAAAAACAAAGTTATTTAAAGTTATGAAGATCAGAGAAGGGCAAAGAAGACCGGACACAGAAGGCCCTCGGGGTGAGCCTAGTTCCGACCATTTCGTCTGAGACGTACAACCGAAAAACAGCTGCAGCAAACGCGAGACTGGCAAGTTTAATGATGGTTTTCAGGAGCCTCGACAAGGAGGCACTCACAACCCTATACACGACATATGCCAGGCCCATCGTAGCGTATACAGCACCAGTATGGAACCAGCATTTTAAAGCATGTCAAGAAACTGGAAGAAGTGCAAAGGCTTCCTTTCGAGATAAAGTTCCAGAGCTGAGGGGTATGAACTATGAGGACAGACTAAAGGAACTAAACACCGACGACACTAGTAGACAAAAGGACCAGAGGTGACATTATTACAATGTACAAAATACTGAGAGGAACAGACAAGGTAGGGTGAACAGGGCGAGCTTGTTTTCACGCGTGTGAATTGCTCATTTCTTTATAATTTGTTCATGATTGTATCCATGTATAAGCATATAAGTAAGTAAATTTACTTACTTACATGATTCATTACCTTCGTAACTTGTACAGCTATCAAAACTTTGGGGCCCAGTCCCTGGACCCATTATGTACCTCTAATCTGTAAATACCTTTGTAACTTGTCATGATTGTGACCAGATCTACCTGGAGTTCATTACTTTTGTAACTTGCTCAGCTATCAAAACTTTGGGGCCCAGTCCTTGGACCCATTATGTACCTCTGTAATCTTTTGACTACCGCCCACAGGATAGGTATGGGGTACATAATACAGATATTAAGCTAAACGAGCTTGTTTGAGAGGCGGGCATTAGGCACACGAGGCACAGATGAAAGCTAAAAGAGCAGATGAGTCATAGGGATGTCGGGAGATACTTCTTTAACCTTATAGTGGTCAGGAAGTGGAACGACCTAGACAGTGAAGTGGTACATGAAGAATCCATACATAGTCTCCATACATTCATACATTCATACATTCTCTCCTGGCTCACGCATCCAGGAGAGAATGTGAACACAGTAGCAGCCAGCAGAGAGGCGAAGTCAGGAGCAAATAGGTAAGTACAAATATATGCGTGTGCGTATATACAAACGTATGTACACATACATATATGTGTTGAACTTCTCGCGGAATTCGTATCTTTAAAACCTGCAGCTGGATCACAAAGTGACGTCTTTGTTAACCTACTTGATTGTCAGGTTAATGCCCTGAATGTAGACTCTTCGCAACTCAATATTGCTACCTAAAGCATTCCTAGCCAGGGTTGCCGATCCAGCACCTGCAAGCAAGTCAGGAAAACACAACTTGTCTCAAAATATAATTTCACCTATTACTAATGTCGCTGCCACCACCAGTTTGGTAAAAGGGACCTGGGCTTTCTTACTTACCCAACACAGCCATTTTACATGGCTGGGCTTAGACCCAGAGTTTCAGAAACATTTATTAACGGATCAGACAGTGGGAGGGAAAAGGGAAGTAAAACATAGTCTCCCTTTTGTCATTGTTTTTCAAACGACAATGACAAAAACAATCTTTACTTCCATAAGTACAGTGTACAACTCTTTGTTGACTTTGTTGAAGACAACAAGAACTGGATTAGATATGACAAACGTTGAGTCATTTGCAAAATATGAGTAATTTAAATTCCTGGGAAACATCTGGTAGGTTAATAATAAAGATGGTGAATAACAGTGGGCCAAGAATGCTACTCTGAGGCACCCCGGTTAGGTTAGGTGAGGTTCGTCAGGAAACAGTACAAGTGTTTTCTGACGCGGGTCTTAGTCAGATGATGACCAGCCCTTGGATTATTATTATTATAATCAAAAAGAAGCGCTAAGCCACAAGGAGCCAGCCCTTGGAACCTTTGGCCATCTGACCTAGGCCTTCCGCTGGCTTACCAGTCCACCCCTTTAAAAATTGTGGTTATAGTTATAACCTTGTATGAGGCACCCCGACGTTGATAGTTTGGGTTGAGGTGTCACTGATAGTCATATGTTGACGTCTGTCCATAAAGTTCTAGTTCCAGCAGCATGATGTTGTGGTCAACAGTGTCAAAAGCTTTCCTTAGATCATTAAACATGATAATTGGATATTTATAGTTGAATCATTGTGGAAAAAAGACATGCACAGTTCAGGCAGTTCAGGACATTTATTAGAGAAAACATTTCGCCATGCGTTGCTTCTTCATTCCTGAAAAATGTCCTGAACTGTACATAAGTGTCTTTTTCCATATTTTGTCGGTATCACCATATCATTTTTTCAGTTGAATCATTAACACTGTAACTTGCTTAGCTACCGTGGCACGGGTGACCCCGTGGCCTGGCTGGCAAAGCTCTCGCTTCACACACGGAGAGCCGGGTTCGATTCCCGGCAGGGTAGAAACATTTTGACCTAGCAGCAAATATGTACCTGGGTGTTAGTCGACTGGCGTGGGTCGTATCCTGGGGGACAAGACTGAGGACCAAAATAGAAATAAGACAGACATTCCTCGATGACGCACTGCCTTTCTTGGGTTATCCTGGGTGGCTAACCCTCCGGGGTTAAAAATCCGAACGAAATCTTATCTTATCTTAAAATCTTGAGGTCCAGTCACTGAACCCATTAAGTGCATACATAATCTGATGACTACCGTGCACAAGACAGGTATAAGGGTGCGTAATAAAGATGTTAAACTAACCGGTACTGCCGGTGGAATGTTAGGCACGGCGGTCCACCTCACCTAATTGTGAACTTATTGTCCTAGTTTCGCTATTTGTATTTTTCCCGGACTCGAGGAAAGAAGGGCTCGATAAGGTATAAGCTATAGTGACCTTTAACAATACTAAACAAAGTAATAAAACAACATCAACAATGAAACAAAAATAAAATGAAAGCGATAACAAAACGAACAAGAAAAAACGACAAAACAAATAAAAACAGAACAAAAAATAACAATAACAATAAAACAACAAACAAAAAGAAACTACAACAAAAAACAGCTACAACATCAATGACAGCAACAACCACAACATCAGTCACAACCACAAGACCACAACCACCATTCCATCCACCACACAGACAAGATAACACAACATCACTGCCACTGATAACACAGCATCACTGCCACTGATAACACAGTCTTGCAGTAACTGTTGACGCAGATCAACATCAACATTTACCTACTTAACAAAAAGATTCCTCAAGTGCATCATTATACACAAATTTGTCACATAATTAATGCATCTGTGTAAAAATATCGACTTTATGAAAGTTTCTTAGCGTCTTGACCTGGATATAAACGAATTATAATACAGCAAAGAAGGAAAATAATTCGTTGTGTAAGTGCTATGTGACTTGTAGGTTTAGCGCTTTTTATTTATTATAATAATAATGTGTAAGTTAATATGTTTATTTAGGTACAGATACACATAAGTACAATTATCATACATAGTGTAAATTACCCAGGATCCAAAAAAAAGGTCAGTGACTTATTTCCATTGAGAACCTTAATGTAAGTCACCTCTGAAGGAGAGAAGTTCTTCATTTTTTTTTTATTTAGGCCTCGCAGCGCTTGCATGACCCTTGTGGGTTTAGCGCTTAGTTTTGATTATAATAATATATGGGCCTAGTAGGCAATTTTAAAGTTTTACAATGGGTAGAGTGAGTTATGTAGGAGTTACCGCAGCGTAAGTCAGGTAATGTGACAACACTTGGCTTCTCCAGGATGTCTCAACTGCAGATGTGATTGTGGCAAGTAAGTAAGTAAGTAAGTAAATTTATTCAGGTATACACAATACAGTTATATAGAATTATCATACATAGCAGCATATGTGTAGAGAACCTAGGATAACCCAAAAAAGTCAGACAGAGTGACTTATTTCCATTGGGGTCCTTTTACCTTATTATTATAATATAAAGGTTATAATATTTTCTTATTATTCTATAATGAAGATAACATCTTATTATCATACTAAAAAGACTATCTACTACACGAGGGTCATTAAGACTATCTACAATGCGAGGGTCATTACTAGGGATAAGGTAAAATTTACACGTATTTTAGCTAAAAAATAGAAAATCATTCCCCTCCCTTTCTGTTGCTTCATTCATCAGACACTTTTTGGCAGTCTTCTTGAACTGGTTCAAGCTATGACTGGCCTTGACATTTGTGGGTAGTCTGTTCCATTCCTTTATTGCTGTACAATAAAAGGTGTTTGAAGCCTGGCCACTGACTGTGGGTACTACAAAGTTGTGCTCTCTCCCCCTAGTACTATGATTGCTTTGGTTCCCAACCTTGACAAAATTGACAGCAAGATATTCTGGACACTGTTTGTGAGCAATTTTATAAACATGATTTAGCTTCAGTTGTTTTACTCTGTCTTCAACATTCAGCATATCCAACTGCTGTAATTCATCCTGGCCTACATGTTCTCTTGGTCCCAGCCCCAGGATGAATCTTACGATTTTGTTCTGGGTGATTTGCAGTCTATCTTTCAGTTTTTTTGTCAAGGCAGAGTACCAAGAAGAGCAAGCGTAATCCATATGGCATTGTATAAGGGCTAGACATAGGGTCCTGCGAGCCTCAGTAGGTAGACACTGTGCTTGTCTATACAGGAACTTCAGTCTGGCATTCGCTTTCTTTACTACACTGTTCCCTATCAATTCTCCTGACATGCATGGGTCAAAGGGGATTCCCAGATATTTAACTGATGAAACCAAAGTGATGGACTCCCCATTACACTGAACATTAAAATTATTTACCCTTCTCAGTTTATGTTTCGTTCCAAAGAGAATGGCTTCAGTTTTCCCTAGGTGTAATGATAGTTTGTTGTCTACTAACCATTTGCTGCAGGACTCCAGTTCCAGTGTTAAAACATTAGCAATATCTTGTGGGTCTTTACCTGTCACTAACAGAGCACTGTCATCTGCATACAGTAGGAGTTTGCACTTGACACTGATAGGCATATCATTGACATAACATAAGAATAGTAAGGGACCCAGAATACTACCTTGGGGAACTCCACATGTTATCGGCAGGGGTTCTGATTCCGTTTTGTTGATTTTGACTATTTGTCTCCTGTTGCTAAGGTAGGACTTAAACCAGTCTACAGAACCTATACCTATAGCTTGAAGTTTCTTACATAATATATTGTGGTTGACAGTATCGAAGGCCTTTTGCAGGTCTAAGGTTACCATACCTACGAGGTTCCCTTTTGACATTTCAGTTCTCAGGTGTAGAACGTGCAGTGTTGCACGTACACTGGCACGTACACTGTTGCATGTGGTGTTGCACGTACACTTGAATGTGCAATGCTGCACGTACTACACTTGAACGTTCAGTGTTGCACGTGCAGTATTGCATGCCTCAGTGTTGCACGAACACTTGCATGTGCAGTGTTGCACGTTCATTGTTGCACGTGCAGTGTTGCAGGTACACTGCTCCACGAGCACAGTCTCCCCAGTCTCGTGCATCACTCACACAGGCAACACTTTCCTAAGATTGATACAGGTGAGAAGACACATTTTAACAACTTTTAAAGTTTCCCATTGAAAGACGGTAGCACCGGTGAGGGGATCTTGATCCAGGGTACTGGAGCTGTTCCGTCTTATTTCCCATTCCCCAGATGTAAATAAGTTTATTAAGGCACACATATTACTGTTACACAATTTATATGTAAATAACGTGTAAATTACGTTTTTCTTCTACCTAGGATAACCCGTGACCCCTGTGGGTTTAAGGCTCCCTTGTAAGTGTACTAATAATGTTTCAAAGAATAGCAGCCATAAAAAATGTAAACCACGTACTATATTTAGTAAGAAACTATATAAGATAAAATTAGCTTTATTTAGGCACCTTCAGGTATTTTTTTTTACGAGGACCCCAATGGAAATAAGTCACTGATTTTTTTTTTTTTGAGGTTATCCTAGGTAATTTACACACATGTTACTAGGTATGATAGTTAAGTTACTTAGCTGTTTTATCTTTTAAGGTTTAATAAGATAGAAAAGAATCTCAATGGAAATAAGTCACTGTGACTTTTTTATGGGTTATCCTAGGTAATTTAGACTATGTAAGATAATTGTACTTGTGTCTATCTGGTGTCTAAATAAGCATACGTAGTCCAACTCAGATACAGCACCTCTACATAGTACAAATTTTCCAAAATGGAATTAAACAAGTTCTTTGAAAATTAAATAGTGCTTGGAAAGACTGTAGTACATAGTATTCAGTTTTTGATGAGCTTTTTTTATTTGCATTTACTAGAAATTTCATTGTATAGAGGAGGCTAATATGAGAGCTAACCTCTACGTTAGTGGTAAATTATGCAGCTTTGACCTAGGATAACCTGTTTACTGAATGTAAGAATAGCAAGAAATTGAATGCAAAGGAATGTTTTTTAAATGTGTTTTATATTATATCTTAAACATTTATTCCTTTTTATATACTACCTCTTCAGGTAATTGCCTTGATACCAGTGATGGGCTCTTGATCCAAGGAATTGCACCTGTTCTTTCCTGGATCAAACATGACTGCCTTTCATTCCCAGAATACTGTATAAAACTCCTATTGGCTAGATAGGCAATGATCTTGCCTCACACTAAGTATCTGTGGTTCAACTCCTCGCATGGGCAGAACTGTTGGACATGTTTCCTTACACCTGCTGTCCCTGTTCACCTAGCAGTAAGTAGGTACCTGGGTGTGGGTTGCATCCTGGGGGACAAGATTGAAGGACCCCAATGGAAATAAGACACACAGTCCTTGATGATGCACTGACTGTCTTAGGTTATTGTGGGTGGCTAACCCTCCTCTGGGCTAAGTGCTCCTATGGGTTAAGTGCTCTGGGCTAAGTGCTCCTATGGGTTAAGTGCTTCTCAATGATAATAATAATAATAATAATAATCTGCATGGTTAGTAACCCAGGTTAGTTTAAGTTTAATTTAAAAGCTTATTATGCACCCCATACCCATTGTGTGAGTACTGATCCATGGACTGCGAAGGGACATAGTGGGTCCAGGGACTGGGCTCCATTGTAAAGGTAGTTAAGCAAGGGTCCAGGGACTGGGCTCCATTGTAAAGGTAGTTAAGCAAGTTACAGTGGTAATGAAATTCAGTATTTACAAGGTTAGAGTAAGTTAGGTTTATGAGGAAACAGGAAAAAGTGTTTTGTGATGTGGGTCTTAGTCATAAGATAACCCACAGCTGAAGCTTTGGTATTTTATGATATGGTTGCAGTCATGTGTTATTAATGCAGATGTAAATTAAGTTGCAAAAACATTACAATGCAGTTTATGGGTGATTTTAAATTATCCAATTTTAACAGTGTATGGTTGAATTTAAAAAAGTTTATGGTTGTTATGAGTTATTTACAATAAGTAAAGTCAAAATATTTTTCTAGAATAACTGGTAATATGCTACTGTGAATAAAATTCTTTAGCATTTCTTGAACATTTGAGAGTGAGTTATCTCTGAATTCATTACTGTACATACCTACTTATTGCTAGGTGAACAAAGGCAGCAGGTATAATAACCATCACATCCAACAAATACTGTGCCATCAGATGTGCATTCTGTTAAAATCTACATTGTTTGACCTTATTGGGTTATCCAAGTTTAAATTTTTATAATCTATATATTTATTACTGTACAGGAGGGCCCCGCTTGTACAGTAGATTAGGATCTGGGCTGCCACTGTAAAGCAAAAATTGCTGTAAAGTGAAATATAGCCTTTTTTTACTTTCAAATGCATATAAAATCTTGATAACTGTTGCACCCCCTGAATGGGTTGCAATGATTAATATGTATATATATAATTATTCCCATCTTGTTCCTCATCCTCATATCCGACATAGACAAGGATGTCAGCCACAGCACCGTGTCTTCCTTTGCAGATGACACCCGAATCTGCATGACAGTGTCTTCCATTGCAGACACTGAAAGGCTCCAGGCGGACATCAACCAAATCTTTCAGTGGGCTGCAGAAAACAATATGAAGTTCAACGATGAGAAATTTCAATTACTCAGATATGGTAAACATGAGGAAATTAAATCTTCATCAGAGTACAAAACAAATTCTGGCCACAAAATAGAGCGAAACACTAACGTCAAAGACCTGGGAGTGATCATGTCGGAGGATCTCACCTTCAAGGACCATAACATTGTATCAATCGCATCTGCTAGAAAAATGACAGGATGGATAATGAGAACCTTCAAAACTAGGGAGGCCAAGTCCATGATGACACTCTTCAGGTCATTTGTTCTATCTAGGCTGGAATATTGCTGCACACTAACAGCACCTTTCAAGGCAGGTGAAATTGCTGACCTAGAAAATGTACAGAGAACCTTCACGGCGCACATAACGGAGATAAAACACCTCAATTACTGGGAGCACTTGAGGTTCCTAAACCTGTATTCCCTGGAATGCAGGCGGGAGAGATACATGATTATATACACCTGGAAAATCCTAGAGGGACTAGTACCGAACTTGCACGTGAAAATCACTCACTACGAAAGCAAAAGACTTGGCAGACGATGCAACATCCCCCCAATGAAAAGCAGGGGTGTCACTAGCACGTTAAGAGAAAATACAATAAGTGTCAGGGGCCCGAGACTGTTCCACTGCCTCCCAGCATACATAAGGGGAATTACCAACAGACCCCTGGCAGTCTTCAAGCTGGCACTGGACAAGCACCTAAAGTCGGTTCCTGACCAGCCGGGCTGTGGCTCGTACATTGGTTTGTGTGCAGCCAGCAGCAACAGCCTGGTTGATCAGGCTCTGATCCACCAGGAGGCCTGGTCACAGACCGGGCCGCGGGGGCGTTGACCCCCGGAACTCTCTCCAGGTAAACTCCAGGTTACCTTTTCATATAATTTTATGTTGCTTATATTTGCGATAATAGCTAAATCGTAAATGTATTGCTTTATATTATTATTTGACTTAGTTATGTTGTTAGGTAGGATGTAACATATTATGTGCTCAGTTCAAGTCTTGATTGTCTAACTACTGTAATTATCGCTCTTTGCTCGTTTCCCTGCCGGCTTCTGTTGCTGGGCAGTAACTGTCCACGGAGCTATCACGTGATCAAGGGGGGAGTGTCCTCACCTCGCCTGAAGTATTCAGTCTGGTCTAGACTCGCTTGGTGGTTGGACGTATTCTTGACAAGAAAAGCCTAAATCTCCCTTATTGGCTCTTGTTGGAAGATCGTCTCTTGTCTCATTATTCTTGTTAGTTCTGGAGACTCTGTTCACAGAACATTGTATAGACTTAGTGATTTTCGACGTTGTACTGAGGTTGTGTGTCGCTTAGACACTGAGAAACTCTGGTCCTGAGCTGTAGCTTCTGACCTAACTTGTACTGGTATCTGTGTACTGTCACAGTCGGGGATTTTCTTATGCTGAACTTAGATTCAGTGGTATGGGAGTTTTGTGACTTTTGTGGAGGATCTGCTGATGGTCCCTACTTATTGTCGTTATATTATCTCCTTGCTCCTGATTCTGTGTTGCCGTTGCTTGTTATATTGCTATTGGGTTTAGCATTCTTTGTTGTTCAAGCAGACTGTTCTGATTGCCAGTTGGTCAAGAAGTTAGTTTATTTGAGGACTTTGTCAGTCACTTGTTTAAGTCTAGTCGAGTCGTGAGACATAGCAAACTACTTAGAGCACTTACACACATATACACACTTATTTGTATATTGTATTATTAAATGTTAATGTACCAGATGGTACTTAAGAATTATAAATGTGATATGTGCTTTCAGCACAATAATACTGTACACGAGAGAAGTGATTAATATTATTTTGATTGTGATTAATTTAATTTAATTTGATATACGCCTAGACAACTTAATTAATAAATTTATTAAATTTTAATTTCTCTAGTTAGTAGCCTACCAGTTGTAATCCTGAAGCACTACTGAATCATATTGAATTCTAATGGATAATTGGACAAGGATACTGACTAATTGTTACGAAAACCCAGTAACAGGCTGGAGGCTAGAAGGGCAGTCCTTTCTAGTATTCACTGGAGATCTCTAAGCTTTTAGAATTGTATTTTTTGTAACAATAAAATATTTACACTATCTTATATTAGTGAGCAATAGAGCCAGGTCCAAAAAATGCATATTGTACAGTACACAAATTACTTTCCTTAAAATATTTCCATCGTGAGTGGTGAATATATTTATTGTATGAAGTCTGAATAAATGAAGAATGGGTATAATAAAAAACCGCTGCATTAGCGAAATGCTGGAAAACAGGGCCCTTCTGTGTATATGTGTCCTAACACCTGTGTGCCCTCAGGACTGTTGTAAGAATCTGAACTTATTTATTTATTTATTTAATAATTTGAACATACAGAGGTACAAAGAAATACAGGTAAGAGCAGTATGCCAAAGCCACCTAAATATAGGGGATTAGTCACTAGTGGCGTTCCACAAGGATCAGTTTTAGGCCCTCTCTTGTTCATAATTTACATTAATGACCTTGATGAAGGGATTACTAGTGACATGAGTAAGTTTGCTGATGATACAAAGATAGGCCGTATAATTCACTCTGAGGAGGATATCAATGAACTCCAGGACGATTTGAACAAATTAATGTCTTGGTCTGAAAAATGGCAGATGAAGTTTAATGTGGATAAGTGTAAGGTACTTGCCCTTGGTAATGAAAATAACCCTCGAAGCTATAATCTAGGTGAAGTAGAGCTTGGTCATACAGAATGTGAAAAAGACTTGGGAGTCATGGTAAGCAGAAATCTAAAGCCAAGACAGCAGTGCCTTAGTGTGCGCAACAAGGCCAACAGATTACTTGGATTTATCTCAAGAAGTATAAGTAACAGAAGTCCAAAAGTTATTTTACAGCTCTATACATCACTAGTGAGGCCTCATTTAGATTATGCTGCTCAGTTTTGGTCCCCTTACTACAGGATGGACATAGACTCATTAGAGAACATACAGAGAAGAATGACTAAAATGATTTACTGTGTAAGGAACCTCCCGTATAAAGATAGACTTAAAGCCTTAAATCTCCACTCTCTGGAGAGGCGTAGAATGAGGGGAGATATCATTGAAGTGTATAAGTGGATGACGGGCATAAACAAGGGAGACATTAATAAAGTACTGAGGGTGTCGAACCAGGTAAGAACCAGGAATAATGGATTTAAGTTGGATAAATTTAGATTTAGAAAGGACATAGGTAAGTACTGGTTTTCTAACAGAGTTGTTGATGCGTGGAACAGTCTTCCCAGTGGGGTGATAGAGGCTAGGACCTTGGGTAGCTTTAAGAAGAGACTGGACAAATATATGAGTGGGAGGGGCTGGGTTTGATTGGTGTCAAGGGGTACGGGAGTTATTTCTTGAGTAGCTTTAGGTAGATGTCGTTTTGATAAGGACCTGCCTCGTATGGGCCAGTAGGCCTTCTGCAGTGTTCCTACGTTCTTATGTTCTTATGTTCTTAACCTTACTAACTATTGACATGAAAACCTAACATAACCTAATCAACCCACACCCAGAGTTTTGTTATTTAGTGTAAAGAGATTACTGGTAAAGTAGTTAAAAATACAGAGGCATTTTGCTATACAGTATAGAGTCAGGTGGGCCTTTCACTTATATTGATGAAACGAGAATGTGATGTATGTAATTTAGCAGATAGTATTAGATCAGATGAAGTCAAGTTCCCAAAATAAAATGTTATATAATGTACATTTTGATAAAATAACATTTCACGAGCCTTTTCCATCCTATGGAGAGGGAGCATGGACACGGGGGCCATCCCACAGTAACTAAAAACAACAGACATAGCCCCACTCCACAAAGGGGGCAGTAAAGCAACAGCAAAGAACTACAGACTGATAGCACTAACATCTCATATCATAAAAATCTTTGAAAGGGTCCTAAGAAGCAAGATCACCACCCATCTAGAAACCCATCAGTTACACAACCCAGGGCAACATGGGTTTAGAACAGGTCGCTCCTGTCTGTCTCAACTATTGGATCACTACGACAAGGTCCTAGATGCACTAGAAGACAAAAAGAATGCAGATGTAATATATACAGACCATACCCCCGGCCCGGTCAGTTAATATATACGGACTTTGCAAAAGCCTTCGACAAGTGTGACCATGGGGTAATAGCTCACAAAATGCGTGCTAAAGGAATAACAGGAAAAATCGGGCGATGGATCTATAATTTCCTCACTAACAGAACACAGAGAGTAGTCGTCAACAGAGTAAAGTCCGAGGCAGCTACGGTGAAAAGCTCTGTTCCACAAGGCACAGTACTTGCTCCCATCTTGTTCCTCATCCTCATATCTGACATAGACAAGGATGTCAGCCACAGCACCGTGTCTTCCTTTGCAGATGACACCCGAATCTGCATGACAGTGTCTTCCATTGCAGACACTGAAAGGCTCCAGGCGGACATCAACCAAATCTTTCAGTGGGCTGCAGAAAACAATATGAAGTTCAACGATGAGAAATTTCAATTACTCAGATATGGTAAACATGAGGAAATTAAATCTTCATCAGAGTACAAAACAAATTCTGGCCACAAAATAGAGCGAAACACCAACGTCAAAGACCTGGGAGTGATCATGTCGGAGGATCTCACCTTCAAGGACCATAACATTGTATCAGTCGCATCTGCTAGAAAAATGACAGGATTGATAATGAGGCCAAATGATGGATAGGGAGGCCAAGCCCATGATGACACTCTTCAGGTCACTTGTTCTATCTAGGCTGGAATATTGCTGCACACTAACAGCACCTTTCAAGGCAGGTGAAATTGCTGACCTAGAAAATGTACAGAGAACCTTCACGGCGCGCATAACGGAGATAAAACACCTCAATTACTGGGAGCGCTTGAGGTTCCTAAACCTGTATTCCCTGGAATGCAGGCGGGAGAGATACATGATTATATACACCTGGAAAATCCTAGAGGGACTAGTACCGAACTTGCACACGAAAATCACTCACTACGAAAGCAAAAGACTTGGCAGACGATGCAACATCCCCCCAATGAAAAGCAGGGGTGTCACTAGCATGTTAAGAGACCATACAATAAGTGTCAGGGGCCCGAGACTGTTCAACTGCCTCCCAGCATACATAAGGGGGATTACCAACAGACCCTTGGCAGTCTTCAAGCTGGCACTGGACAAGCACCTAAAGTCGGTTCCTGACCAGCTGGGCTGTGGCTCGTATGTTGGTTTGCGTGCAGCCAGCAGCAACAGCCTGGTTGATCAGGCTCTGATCCACCAGGAGGCCTGGTCACAGACCGGGCCGCAGGGGCGTTGACCCCCGGAACTCTCTCCAGGTAAACTCCAGGTCATTTGTAGGTTACAAGGTGCTGTATCAATTCACTGAAGAAATACATACTTTTTTTTTTATTGAAATTATGGTTTACTGTACTTACCTTTGCATAATTTTGTGTTTTGTTTTTGCATCTAGAATTTTTATCTTGCCTTTGAACATCAAAACACCTTTCAGAAATAGGAAAGTGGTTGGCAGAAGAAGCCTCAGCCTGACTTTTTTGGGTTATCCTAGGTAATTTACACTATGTATGATAATTGTACTTATGTGTACCTGTACCTAAATAAACTTACAATTTTGGCACTCATGAAGAATCCTTAGCAGTTTTGAAATGCCTTTGTCATCTTTTTTTTTTTTTCCCTTATTTTTGAAGTGTGTTGATATTCAGTTTTTGTCACTTTTAAATATATTTACTCTAATTTACTATGTTGGAATGGATGCTGCACAACTTGCTGATTGTAATACAGGCTTTGTAAAATTAATGCTATGCATATTATGACAAAATTGTTCCATACCTTTCATATGCTGTTACGTATTTTGTTATAAATAAATATTTGCTTTTACAGTGGACCCCCGGTTAACGATATTTTTTCACTCCATAAGTATGTTCAGGTGCCAGTACTGGCTGAATTTATTCCCATAAGGAATATTGTGAAGTAGATTAGTCCATTTCAGACCCCCAAACATACACATACAAACGCACTTACATAAATACACTTACATAATTGGTCGCATTCGGAGGTAATCGTTATGCGGGGGTCCACTGTATTTAATTTGTATAGAGGGGAAATAATTTTTTTTTTAAATTAATGTACATGCATGGGATGATTACTTTCATAATAACAGTTTTAATAATAACAACCAGGCTGAGAATTTATTATAGATGGGTAATAAACTTTTTTTTTTTTTTGGAAGAGATCTCTTTTACTTCAAATGTATTCAGTACTGTACTTTAAATAATACTAAACATGCTCTGTAATTCACACTACAAAACACTTAAAAATAGGGACACTAATGAATATTACCATCTTCACATAGTACTGTGATATATAGATCATAATAATAATTTCACACTTTAGGTTGTAAAAATATTTTACAGGAAACTCTCATAAAAGACAATGGCATCCACCATTGTTAGAGGTGCTGTCCGAGTCCTTGGGACAGTGGCAGCAGTTCGTACACCGAGAGTCATCAAGAACAGCAGGTAATAGTAGTCATTAACATTCATTACTGCTTACTTACCAACAATTTGAATTCATTAAACTGTTGTTGTATAATGTAAGATTTTTATATTTTGCTCAAGGAATATCTGTTTATTGTATTGAATTATTGTTAAGTGACATTAAACTTTAAAATACATCATTATATTGATGTATGTTGCCTTACGTATATTACACTGCATGTCACTCTCAGTTTGATAGCTTTTTAGTCTTTATAATAGAGGGAAATCCTGAGCAAATAAATGAGTTGCATGCCTGGTGATCCAACTTAAAAAATGACTTATTTGCTACTGGAACCTATTTTCTTGTAGAAAGGAATAGCACAAAAATGATTGTCATATATGTTCATTACTGTGCATCAGTATTTGTAAAACAATTATGTTTTAAATATCATTTTCCAGGATCTCATTCTTAGGTGAGGATGTTCATAGCTAAGGAATACATAGCTTTGGTACCGCTACACATCAGACTTCTGTACAGTACATATTGAAGTTTGATGTGTAGAATAATACTGACACTTCATGAGTGTAACCTTTCTGAAAATCTGTAAATCTGTTTTAATATTTTTGGGGGGGCATTTTAATTATTGTAAAATGTATAGTATCCTGTCATTTATAATGATTATATTGTGCATTATGTTAAATTTATTGAGGGGTAGAACATTAACTTGATGCTTTCACATGTGTGATGTACTGATATACTTACTGTATTTTTTTATTACTTATGCAAAGTAGAAAAGTGATTTAGACTCGACTCTATATCTGCTAAGCATGAGACAGACTCGCTATCTAACTGCCATCACTTTATCGTCTATTTCCTTCATAATAAAGAACCTTAACTAGATACTTTGTATCCTGTTTCAGTAGAAGTTTTTGTATAATGTACACAAATAACCCTCACATAGAGAGAAACTTATGATGACATTTCGGTCTGACATTGACCATTAACTAGCCACACACTGTGTGGACCATTAACTAGCCACACATTGTGGACCATTAACTAGTCACACACTGTGTGGACCATTAATTAGTCACACACTGTGGACCATTAACTAATCACACACTGTGCAGACCATTAACTAGTCACAGTGTGTGGTTAGTTAATAGTCCAAGTCGGAGTGAAACGTCATCATAAATTTCTTCTATGTGCAGGTTATATGTGTATTGTGCTCATTACATACTGTATTTACATTTAGGTGCCACAAATTTGGAGAGATTGCTTCAAATATTTATTATATACAGTACAGTACTTTATATATACATGTATGCAAAATATAAAATGCAGTATGTCTTACAGATACATTACAGCAACAGTGTTTGCTTCAGGAGGAGTCCTACTGTATTCCTCCTATAGTGGAAAGGTTGACGCTGCTCAGAAATGTTCTAACCTAGACACTTCTACCTTCATGGCTGAGCCTATTACAGAACTGAGGATTTTAGAGGAAAACTCAGAGGATATGAAGACTAAGATGGAATTGCTTATTTTGAGAATTCAGGTGAGAGTTATGTATTGTTTAAATTTGTTTTCTGGCAATGTAAATCTTGAGTCTGTTAATCTTGTAAGCAATTCACTGACATTGTAACTTGCTTAGGTAAGAAAAATTTGAGACCCAGTTCTTTAGACATTATTTGTACAGAACTTCTCAGTGGCTGCAAACTTTATGAAGAACAAAAAGAAACAGTAGCAAGGGAAATGGAAAATATTGACCTCAAAATGAATGCATCATACAAGGCCCAGGAAAGGTAGATAGAACAAAATGTCATGAATGAAACCGAGAGAAATCTTAAATCTTTGTCTCATATGCAAAATCCAGGGCTTTAACTACATCCAGTATAGGGCCCTTTCTTAAAGGAAATGGAACTTTCACTGATAACAAAGAAATAAGTGAAATTCTGAAGTTGTGATATGACTTGTGTTCAGCAAGTCATTAATCAGTCTAAAGACTGACAATCCAAATGAATTTTTTATGGATGAGACTTGAAACCCTGTTGACATCTTCATTATTTCTGACATAACTCTGACCCCATTTGACTTTGAAAAAAAAAACATTGATTGCATGATCCTTCACTCTGCCCCAGACTCTGATTTACAGAATTTCTTATTCATCGAGAACTACTAGAAACCACCGTTTCATGCTTTGAATATTTTGTGGAGGCGACTAGATATAGGTATCATCCCACAGCCCTTAAACACCATTTACATAGCCCCACTCCACAAAGGTGGCAATACAGCAATTGCAAAAAACTATAAGCCAATAATACTGACATCCCACATAATCAGAATTTTTAGGTCTTAAGAAGCAAGAGTGCTAATCACATGGAATCTCAACATTTAAATAACCCAGAGCAGCATGGGTTTAGAGCAGGTTGTTCCTGCCTATTGCAATTGTTTGACCATTATAAAATGGTCCTAGATTTAGTGGAAGACAAACAAGAAAACTGACTTTGCAGAAGCTTTTGACCAGTGGCTCAAATCCTAATTGCTGCATTCATGTGTTATGTTCATTACATTGACATGGGTCATAGAATGGACAAGAGCTAGAATTAGTTATTAATTGCTTTTAGGTCATGGTTTCTCCATAAAAACTTGTGATTGGGTTCCAAATAGAGACCATCACTAACCTGCCCAGGATTCTCATTAGAGAAACTTGATCTTCTGTGGTGCAGCAGACTAAGGTAACAGGCTAATAATCTCAGACTACAGGTTCAAATCCCAATTACAGGATGATCATATATTTATATTATAAATCTAGTAATGTTTGTCTCAGTATTTTGTGAGTTGCTTGAAACCTCATATAAAGCTTGTACATTCTCTTTGTTTAGTCAGAGTTTTGTCGAGCACTAGAACAAGAGGATGGGAAGCAGGCAAAGTTCACAGTTGATAGATGGAGACGCCACAATCCTAACGAAGGTGGAGGTATCACCTGTGTCCTGCAAGATACAGAGACATTTGAGAAGGCCGGTGTAAACATCACAGTCATGTCTGCCCCACTCTCCAAACAGCTTCAGGCTAGCATGAGGGCAAGGTAATTATTTCTACAGATATTCTCCCTTCAAGGTGAAGGGCTTTCTGTCTGAGAAGTTGAAACTGTCCTCTCTCCTTCTGTGGATTAAATCTGATAACCTCCAAGACTCCTGATACTGTTTGACTCTTAAGGGTTTATACCTTTCCTGTGAATATGATTTACTACATTAATGCAGTTATTTTCCACTCATATGTATATACAGCTAAGTCTTGATTAGTACAAATAATGAATCCCATGAAGTGTTCGCATTATTTGAATTCACACTATTCAAATTATGTGTAATTTTTGTGCATATGAAGAGTTTGGGGGAAAAGTAGCATTAATTATTTTTTGCACTAAATCAAAATTCTCACAATTCACACTTGCAGTATTTGAAACCTGGCTGTATTTTAAGCAATGTTTGTTACTTTAATTCTACTCAGAACTTGCTGTACTGAAACTGTTCCTCCTCTCACAGTTTATACAATTACTCATACAATTTTTATAATATTTAAAATTCTCTCTCCTTCTTGAGTCACTTAAACTAAGATATTTTGATCACATTTATTTTACCGACAACCTATAGCATCTTGGTGTTGTACATCTTCATTATCAACCCCTCTAGGGGGAAGGAATGCCTAGATGCTTGTGAGTGACTCATGATCCAAGGAATTGGAGCTGTTCTGTCCTTGGATCAAATCTGGTTGCCTCCCATTTCCCAGGCACGGGTATAACCCTTACGGTTTTGGTGCTTTTCCATGATTATAGTCAGTCAGGCACTCCTCACTTAACTACCGAGTTCTGCCCTGCTTTCACTTTCGAAACCACAGCAGCTAACTCCCTTTACGGTGAATTTCTTTTGTACTTCTTCCATTCTTTCCTCCTCTTCTTGCTCTTCCAAGTGCTGCTGCACTTCTAACTCTTATTAAATCTTCACTGATTAGCTCTCCCTCGACCAAAGTTCTCTTACAGCGTACACTACCAAATGGTTGGAGAGCTGATCGTAAGTCTGCGTGGTTATTAAACAGGTAGGTCATTAAGTGAGGAGTGCCTGTTTAATAATATTCATTACTGCTTGCTTATCAAAAAATTGAATTCATTAAGCTGTTACAAATACAAAATACAAATAATATATTTCTTTTCTACAATATACAGGTAATGTTGTTTTCATATAATAAAATATTGTTAGACAAAAGAAAGCCACTAGTATGCAGTACATTTCAGGCAGACTAATCTTAATGTTGTATAATGTAAGATTTTTTGTATGTTGCTCAAAGAATATCTTTTCATTGTATTGAATTATTGTTAAGTGATACTAAATTTTAAAATACTTCATTATATATTTGCAATTGAAATTGATTATTGCAGAGGCAAGGAGCTGCCTGAAGACAAGCAGTTTACATTTTTTGCTGCTGGCATTAGTTCTGTGATTCACCCGCGCAACCCTCACGTACCCACAATTCATTTCAACTACAGATACTTTGAGATGCAAGATGAGGATGGAAAAAATAAACATGTAGGTTTTATAATTTTATAGCTTTCAGAAAATTTAACACCTGACAAATTCAAAAAGCATCTAAGGGGAGCAAAGGACAAAGACAGAAATGCAGTAATTTGAAATTTTATTCAGAGTTTTGTTTAGTGAATAAGACACAGTATGCAGTTTATAGCATTTATTGGGAAGACATTTCATTCACCAAGGACTTTGATAAAAGTCCCTTGTTGACGAAACATCTCAGTCAGTGCCATAAGCCATGTATGTCTTATTCTTATACTTGTCAGAATATACTGCCATTTACATGCAGTGGTTCAGCTGTACAACTGAATATTCCTGGGGAAAGGAGATTATATAGGCAGGAGTGAAGAGAGGCCAGTTGAGAGATGTTAGATGTGGTGGTAGTAGTCCAACTTGACAGTTGGTCTCAGTGATAGGGTGTGTTCAGCAATATTGCTTAAGTTGAGCTATTTTAAGTCGTTTGATGAGTACTGTATACATTTTAAAGGTGTTCAATCCCTAAGTCTTGATTATAAATAAAATACAGCTTCTCCTCACTTAACAACAGAGTTCCGTTCCTAAGACCACGTCGGTTTGTGTCAACCATCTTTGATATTGTTTTAATGTCACCTTTGCACCATATATAACATTTCTGGTATATTTGTAAATGTTTATGCAGTAGTTTACTATATACATACTGTTATAAACAGAGTAGAGGAAATCAGCTCTAATATACATTATTTAGGTATGCATACTGGAGTTTACCTGGAGACAGTTTCGGGGGTCAACGCCCCCGCGGCCCGGTCTGTGACCAGGCCTCCTGGTGGATCAGCCCCTGATCAACCAGGCTGTTGCTGCTGGCTGCACGCAAACCAACGTACGAGCCACAGCCCGGCTGATCAGGAACTGACTTTAGGTGCTTGTCCAGTGCCAGCTTGAAGACTGCCAGGGGTCTGTTGGTAATCCCCCATATGTGTGCTGGGAGGCAGTTGAACAGTCTCGGGCCCCTGACACTTATTGTATGGTCTCTTAACATGCTAGTGACACCCCTGCTTTTCATTGGGGGGATGGTGCATCGTCTGCCAAGTCTTTTGCTTTCGTAGTGAGTGATTTTCGTGTGCAAGTTTGGTACTAGTCCCTCTAGGATTTTCCAGGTGTATATAATCATGTATCTCTCCCTCCTGCATTCCAGGGAATACAGGTTTAGAAACCTCAAGCGCTCCCAGTAATTGAGGTGTTTTATCTCCGTTATGCGCGCCGTGAAAGTTCTCTGTACATTTTCTAGGTCGGCAATTTCACCTGCCTTGAAAGGTGCTGTTAGAGTGCAGCAATATTCCAGCCTAGATAGAACAAGTGACCTGAAGAGTGTCATCATGGGCTTGGCCTCCCTAGTTTTGAAGGTTCTCATTATCCATCCTGTCATTTTTCTAGCAGATGCGATTGATACAATGTTATGGTCCTTGAAGGTGAGATCCTCCGACATAATCACTCCCAGGTCTTTGACGTTGGTGTTTCGCTCTATTTTGTGGCCAGAATTTGTTTTGTACTCTGATGAAGATTTAATTTCCTCATGTTTACCATATCTGAGTAATTGAAATTTCTCATCGTTGAACTTCATATTGTTTTCCGCAGCCCACTGAAAGATTTGGTTGATGTCCGCCTGGAGCCTTGCAGTGTCTGCAATGGAAGACACTGTCATGCAGATTCGGGTGTCATCTGCAAAGGAAGACACGGTGCTGTGGCTGACATCCTTGTCTATGTCGGATATGAGGATGAGGAACAAGATGGGAGCTAGTACTGTGCCTTGTGGAACAGAGCTTTTCACCGTAGCTGCCTCGGACTTTACTCTGTTGACGACTACTCTCTGTGTTCTGTTAGTGAGGAAATTATAGATCCATCGACCGACTTTTCCTGTTATTCCTTTAGCACGCATTTTGTGCGCTATTACGCCATGGTCACACTTGTCGAAGGCTTTTGCAAAGTCTGAGTCATCGGTAAATGAATATGTCACTAAGTGAGGAGAGGCTGTATTGTGCAAAAAGTGTTCAGTCCCATAGCCTTGATGTGTCCAAGAGTAACAGTAGCTATGAAATCAGTCTTCCTTTCCTTCACTAGATCTGTGAAATTAGGACAAAAATGCAATATTTAGGATATTTATTTAGGAAAAGTTTGCCTGCTTGAAAATTTTTCAAGCTAACAATGAGAGAACCATCTAATTAAATGTCCTTGGTGTTCAATTTGTGGCTTATTCCAAAAATTCTCTGTTGTCATACCTGTACTTGTTTCCTGGATCTGCTATTGATACTCATACACATTAATAACTTAAAGATTTTTTTTTTTTTTTTGGGGGGGGGGGGAAAGTATGCATATGGGTATACAGTGGAACCTCAAAAATTGAACTTAATCCATTCCAGGAGCTAGTTCTAAATTCGAAAAGTCTGAAATTCGAAGCAATATTTCCCATAAGAAATAATGAAAATACAATTAATCCGTTCCAGAAACCCAAAAATATTCACACAAAAAATACATTTTATAGAGATTAATTACAGTTTTACATGCAACAAATACTATAGTTTTTAATTATGTATAGTAATACATATAAAATAACATTTTTACTTACCTTTATTGAAGAGTGGTGATGGCATGTAGAAGATAGGGAGGAGGAGAGAGGGAGATGGGGTTATTGTTTGGAAGGAGAATCCCCCTCCATGAGGACTTCAGGTAAAGCCCTCTCTAGGGTTACTTCCCTTCTCTGTCTTTTAATGCCACTAGGACCAGCTTCAGAGTCACTGGACCCCTGTCTCACAAAATAACTGTCCACGGTCCTCCGTATCTGGCGCCTCTTTAACATTTCCCTAAAATGGGACATGGTTCTGTCACTGAACTTGTTGCAAAGATGGCTTGTTTCAGCTTGCTCAGGGTGGTACTTCTGCACAAACATTTGGACATCATTCCACTTGGCACAAATCTCCTTAATCTTTGAAGAAGGCACCTCATCCACTCCCTATATTAACACCTTTCGCAACATCAGCTTCCTTGATTTGTTCTGTCTTTGACAGGATAGAACTGATGGTCGACTTGTTTTTCCCATACATCCTGGCAAGCTCAATAAGTCTCACACCACTCTCATACTTCTGTATTATTTCCTTCTTCACATCTATGGTGTTTCTCACTTTCTTTACCACAGGGGTACCACTAGCAAGTTTCTTTGGGCCCATGGCAGCTTATTTCACAGTCCCACAAGCACTAAACACAACGAAATAATCGTAAAATGCGTGAATGAGAGCGCAGGTTAGTGTTCACTCAAGCATAAACAAAGCTAGACTGCTGACGGCGCCTGTGCTGGGACGTGGGCAGAGCGGGCCGGCAGACAGGTCCCGTACCCAGCGGTCCGAAAATAGGGGCGCGTTCGATAATAGGGACACTATCCGAAAAAAATGGTCATATTTTCGAAACGTTCGATATGTGATACGTTCGATTTTTGAGGTTCCACTGTAAACATATTGTGAATCCCATATTTTAGCTAAGTTTGTTTTATTTATTTTTGCCTAATTAGTATCATTTTGTTCGAGTCCATCCCTCTAAATAGTGTTCTAAGCTTATAAATATTCACTCATATAAAAGTACAATGGACCCCCGGTTTGCGAAGCCATCGGTATCTGGTAAATCCGGTATCCAAAGCATTATATTGCAAAAAATTTGCCTCGGTTCCCGTTACAAAACCCGGTATGCGATACGATTCGTACGAGACGTGTCCAGTGTTTACAAGCCAGCCAGTGTGCGCGCATCTAAGGATACATTCGGTACATTCTATATTATCCATATTATCACTGTTTTTGGTGCTTGTTTCTGCAAAATAAGTCACCATGGGCTCCAAGAAAGCTTCTAGTGCCAACCCATCAAGACAAAGGGTGCTAATGACTATTGAAATTTAGGAAATGTGTGCAAAGTGGCTTGAAGTGCAAACCTTTTTTGATGAAAATCACCCTGACACAGCTACTGCAAGCCGTGTTGGCAACCTGTACACTGACAATGTTGTGAACCATTTTAGTAAAGTAATAAAGGAACGAGAGGTACAGGTCTCTATGGACAGATATGCTGTGCGACAGAAGTCCAGTAACTCTCAAGCTGGTCCTAGTGGCATTAAAAGAAGAAGGGAAGTAACCCCAGAAAAGGACTTGCTACCTCAAGTCCTAATGGAGGGGGATTCCCCTTCTAAACATTAAAAACTTGACACTCTCCCCTCCTCCCATCCCATCAATCATCACCAGATCTTCATTAAAGGTAAGTGTCAATTATTCCATTGTGATTATTCTATTGTTATTATTGTTATTGTAATTATTATATTTCATTAAACTTAATATATCATGTGGTAAAAGTTTTTTTTTTTCATACTTTTGGGTGTCTTGCACGAATTAATTTGATTTCCATTATTTCTTATGGGGAATATTGATTCGCTTTCTGATAATTTTGGTTTACGATGAGCTCTCAGGAACGGATTAATATCGTGAACTGGGGGTCCACTGTGCATTACATGAAATGAAATGGGTGGGAGTGAATAGAACCTGAATAGTATTGGCCAGTAAGCCTACTGCAGTGCTCTCTTTTTTTTTTTTTTTTTTTTTTTTTTTTTTTTTTTTTTTTTTTTTTTACCTCAGCAGTCATCTTCCACTAAAGCAAAGTGGCCAAAAAAAATAAACCTCATTCACCATCATTCATTCAGTTGCTGTCTTTGCCAAAAGTGTGCCAACATCACCATTCAGATGCCCCATCAACTACAACATCTTTGCCCCTCTTTCAGAGTGCAGGCCCTGCCTTTCCTACTTTTGGGACTCAAATCTGGCTAACTGATTTCCCTGAATCCCTTCAGAATTGTCACCTCCTCTCACAAGTCTGCTGGATGCTCAAGCTCCTAAAATTCAAAGCCTCCTTTTCCCCTCTCCCTCTAGTCATTCCCGTGATGATTCTTTTTCCTCGTACAGTAGGCAGCAGGCCCACTTGCCCATTCTTGACTGGTCATT